CTGATCTGGTAGTAGGCCTGATCTTGAGGTCCACGGAGATCGAAGAGAAGACGGCGGTCAGCGACCTGGCACTCGTTGTTGTTGGGAACAGATGCACCGGAACCGCCGCAGTGAACGCCGTTCTGAACGGGGTCGTCGTTGCCGCCCACGGAGAAGAATGACTTGAAGTTGAAGTCAACGCTACCGGAGGTAGCAAAGGTGACGAGCTTGTAGTCAGAGATGGTGTAAGAGACCGGGATACAGCCTTCATCGCCGCGGACAGCAAGGCTGGCGGGAGCAGCTACGGCAACAGCGGCAAAGGCCATTGCGAGGGTGTAGGAGGAGCGCATATTGAGGGGATGTGGCTTTGGTAAGAGGTGGAAACTTGGTAGCAGAGTGAGTTGAGGGGCTGCGTGAGTTGAAGAGTTGATACTTTTGGGAGTGCGATGACGAGAAGGAAAAGGTATTGGAAGAGATTTTTGAGTTATATATACTGGCAGGAGCATTCGCTATGGCGCAATCCGGGGCCGCTACCGGCAGGGGCGACGGGCCAGATGCGTACGAGAAAGTGACTGGAAGGCGAAAAATCGGGTTTGGGTCCGTTCGTAGGTCGCAAGACGAGCAAGATGAGCAAGTTATTTGGGGCTGTACGAAGCAGAGCTAGCGGGTTCTCGAGGTTCAGCAAGGAGACCTTGCGGCTGAAGGTGCAATTGGGCAGGTCTCAGTATAAGCTTACGCGCAGCTGTTGGGTTGTACTACCAGCAGCTGAGCTACATACTGAGGTAACTACCAATAGCTGAGCCATGTAATGAGGGACTAGATTAAGGACAAAGCGACGTTTGCGAAACGAGCGTTGGAGGTTCCTATAGGTAGCACGCCATATAGAAACCGACAAAGGCAAAGACGAGTGGCAGATGATCATGGTCAGACATATCCGCAAGAGATATGGACAGAGGACATCATTGCCCGTCAGCCAACAGTAGGACACACTATGGTCAGAATGCAAGAGCCAGACGTAAGAACTAGAACAACAGCATTTGTTGTCCCCAATTCACTCTACAATCTAGTAATTAGAAAACTCGAAGGAAAGAGATGTAAAATATAACCAGAAGCAAGCCTTGTTCTTTCATTTCTTGATCAGGGGCATTGTTGTGTTGTTGTAACATTCGAAGATTCACCTATTCTGACTTTCGCATTCCTGCGAGAGGATATATGCACCTTTGCAGGTGCTCAGAACACATGCTCAGAAAACAAAGAGCAAGCCCGGTGTAGTGGAGGACAGGTCCTTGTAGGGCGATGGTGCGTCATTGGCCCGGAAGCGAAAGACCAGCATGGCACTCCCGCGGGGAGCATCGTCATTTCACATGAGCAAGTTGGCTGCCCAGACGCACTCCAATACAATGGACATCACACCAGTATTCAACCAGATACTCGCCAAACACGATGCGCGCCCGATCGAGCCTCATGTATTCCGTGTCGAAGCCCTAGATGATTTTGTGAAAGAGGCATACCGCATTGTAGGCCACGTTGCGCGCCTGGACTCGAGGGGAGGTGAAAGCTAACTGTCGCAGCGAGGTCACATTGCGAAGCTCCACACGGACCTGAAGTCGATACGGCAAAGTTATCTCTCGACGGCGCATCCTCCCCGCCGGAAGCAGTATACGCGCACCAATGGCTCCGCGACATCGGCAGACAAAGATGCAAAGTACCTTAGCGACACGCAGCGCAACGAGATTGACGCCCAAGCGAAAGAATCGATACACGGGCTGAACGATGCTATCAAAAGGCTGGGTATTGCTGAGCAGACACGACAAGAGACGCAGACGCAGGTTGCTTTGAAGAAGCGCGCAAAGCAGGGCCTAGGTGCGCTTGGACGATGGGCAGCGGGCGGGGCAATCACAGCAAAGAGCGTCGAGGAGGAGATGCAGGAGGCCAAGGCAAATACGATCAAGGCGCATCGAGAGGGCATAATATGGTCGCTTCAGAAGCAGCTGGAGCAGTGCGGCCAATTCCAGAGCGACATGATGGAGATACGGCTCATGCGCGAGGTGGAGAAGAGCAAGAGCGTGCTGTACAAAACGAGGACCACGGGACCAACGAGCAGCGACTACAGCGGCATGAATGGCAGCAGTGCAGGCAACGAGTCTGCAGGCTATCGCGCGAAGCCGACGTACAACCCCGACGAGTCGAGCGCGGTGATTGAGAATCAGCTCGACCCCGAGCAGCTCCAGCTGTTTGCACAGGAGAATCAGGATATGCTCAAGCAGTATGAGGACCAACTCGACAAAGTTCGGTACGTACTCGAACGTGCGCATGATGAACAACTACTGACACAGGCAGCGCAACCGAAAAGTCACTCACCGAGATCTCGGAACTACAGTCGACGCTCGCGTCCAACCTCAGCATGCAGGCGGCGCACATTGACCAGCTCATCGAGGACTCGTTCAACACGACGGAGAATGTAGGGAGCGGAAACAAGGAGCTCAAGCGTGCGACGGAGCGGGGCAGCACGGCGCAGAAGCTGTTCTGGGCGACAAGTATCTTCTGCACGACACTTGTCTTGTGGGACTTGTTCATCTGAAGCGTGCAGGAAGACAGGCTGGTGTTGTTAGTAGACAGTCTACATGTGAATCAATCGCGACCTCGCCGTTAGTATCCGCTGCGCTCTGAGTGGACCAGATTCCCAGAAGCAGGAAAATCAGCCCATGTGGGGTGGGCAGACATGAACCAAGTGCAATGCAGACCCACAACGGTTCATGGCACGAAATGGTTGTGGTGATGCCCTGCATGTGAGACGGCCTGTCTGGCTGACATGATGGCGCGGTAACTTGTGCCTCGGCTTGCCTGCTCACACGACGCTGCGGCAGACCTTCCGAGCGTCAACTCTATATAACGAGCTGGCCGAGAGCCGTCGCCATGTCTGCATCTCTTGCTCATCGTCTCGCGCCGGCCCTCCCGGTTCTCCGCATCTCGTCTCCAAAAGCAAACTGCGGGGTTTAGCGTGGGCGGACGCGGCTTCCCTTTCCTAGGCAGCGGCAGCGGCAGCGGTGAAACGTAAACGTGGGAGCGCTCCTACGCCGTAATCATGCCAGACTCACATACCTCCTCCTCCTCCTCCTCCACCCCTCCCCAGACCTCGTCCAAGACACGCCTCTCCCAGATCTCCTCCCACATCGAACCCATGGCTGCCACCGCTTTCGACGCGAATGTCGTCCCCCAGGCGCCCGAAGACCCGCTCTTCGGCCTCATGGCTGCCTTCCGTCGCGACGAGAACCCCAACAAGGTCGACCTGGGCATTGGCGCTTACCGCGACGACAATGCAAAGCCCTGGATTCTGCCCGTCGTCAAGAAGGTACGCCATCGCGCCTTCCTCATGTCACACCACACAGGCTAACATCACACGTCCACAGGCCGACGACAGACTGCGCGACGACCCCAACCTCAACCACGAGTACCTCCCCATCGCCGGTCTTGCCGAGTTCACAACCGCCTCCCAGAAGCTCGTGCTCGGTGGTGACAGCCCCGCCATCAAGGAGAAGCGGGTGAGGACACCCCTCCATCACGTCATGACTTGAGCTCACACCACACAGGTCACCAGCTTGCAGACCATCTCTGGCACCGGCGCCGTCCACTTGGGCGCCCTCTTCCTCGCCAAGTTCTACAAGACCCAGAGCCAGCGGACCGCCTACTTCTCCGACCCGACATGGGCCAACCACTTCCAGATCTTCTCCAACGTCGGCCTCGAATACAAGACATACCCCTACTTCTCCAAGAAGACCAAGGGCCTCGACTTCGATGGCATGATCGGTGCCCTGCAAGATGCGGCAGAGGGCAGCATCATCGTACTGCACGCGTGTGCTCACAACCCCACCGGTGTCGACGCTACACAAGAGCAGTGGAAGAAGATTGCCGAGGTGATCAAGTCAAAGAAGCACTTTCCTTTCTTCGACACCGCATACCAGGGCTTTGCTTCAGGTGACCTTGCAACTGACGGCTGGGCGATCCGCTACTTTGTCGAGCAGGGCTTCGAGCTCTGCATTGCCCAGTCCTACGCAAAGAACTTTGGTCTGTACGGCGAGCGAGCAGGCTGCTTCCACTTCGTCACCTCGCCGTCATCCGACGCCGAGTCCACCATCAAGCGCATCGCCTCACAGCTCGCCATCCTCCAGCGCTCCGAGATCTCAAATCCTCCTGCCTACGGTGCCCGCATCGCCTCGACCGTCCTCAACGACCCCCAGCTCTTCGCTGAATGGGAAGACAACCTCCGAACAATGTCTGGTCGTATAAAGGAGATGCGCAAGGCGCTTCGTAGCAAGCTCGAGAACATGGGCACGCCCGGCACATGGAACCACATCACAGAGCAGATTGGCATGTTCAGCTTCACCGGCTTGACAGAGCAGCAGGTTCTGAAGATCCGGGAAGACTCCCATGTGTACATGACCAAGAACGGTCGTATCTCCATGGCTGGCCTGAACACACACAACGTCGACTACTTTGCGAAGGCTGTCGACAAGGTTGTGAGGGAGACACAGTAGGGTGGAGGCCTAGCACCTTGTAGAGGTTTTCAGGAGTCTTGCTAGCCACGACTGGCCGAAGCTGGAACGTGTTACGATTATACGAGACGGCGACCAAGCCGTACTGTTGGGATGGAGAATCTACCATAGACTAGTCCTCCCCTCATCTAGACTATTAGAGTCCGCTATTGAACATCCGGATGTGATGCCATTTTTTCCCCTCGGGTTCTGACACTTAAAAGACTGTACAAATACATCGCTTCGGCAGACACAACGAATGAAGGGTCTCTGGACAGTCACATTCATGAGACTCGGTGTGGCACACATAATAGCAGGTAAAAGAATGATATGTTTAAATCAACACATAGGGTATACAGCTCCAGCGATCCGCCTGACGACCAAGGAATAAACACTCACACAAGCAGTGAGACGAACAATAACCGTCCGGCACATCTTCAATGTCCTCGTCATACGCACCATATTCATCATTATCGCAAACTAATGCGTCTACTTAACCCCTTTGCTATGCGTGAACCTCGCAATGCTGCCAATACTCCAGCTTTTCCCCTTTCTCTCCTTTTCCCGACGCTTCTTCTCCTCACGTTCCCGTACCTCGTCACTCGATTCCAGGAGACTGTCTCCACTGAGCCGCTTCAACATGTCGAGAGTCGAAGACGTTTTGCGCAGACGGCTCTTTTTCGGGGGTGGCGGCGGGACAAGATCGTCGAAAGTTGGAGTGCGCCATTGTAGGACGTTCGTGTCTATGGGTAGAGGCGGGAGAGGGGCATTGTTTCGCTGTATCGTAACGAACCTATCCTCCATGGGTGGGAGAAGCATGGAAGATGCAACGGGCGATAGTATGTGTTCTTCTATGCCATCGCTGTTGTTGCTACCGTAGCTCCATGACGACTCATTCGTTCCTTGGATGGGCAAGCTTATCGCGCTACTGCTGTTTGACGAGTAAGCCGAGTACTGGTATGGGTGCGGTAGTGGTGCTGAATGAGGTGGTTCATAGTCGTCGGGTCTAGGTTCCGGTCTATTCGTGTCCGCAAGGAGGGAGTCTGATTGCGCACGCTCTTTGGGTAGGAAGGGATTGTCTCGGAAAGCCGGGTGGTCAGACAGTGCTGGTGGCGGATATGTTGGTGCTCTCCACACTGACATTGGTGGCCTGGGTTGTCGCTGAACGTGTTGGGATGACCTGGCTGATGTGTCTGCGGAGTGTGGACGCGTCGTCATGGTTGGTACAGTCAGACTTGTTTGCGACACGGTTCTGGACAGTGGAGCCAGGAGCCGTGGTGAAGCGGATCGCGCGCGCGACTCGGAGGCGGTCTTTCGTAGAGTATGTGACTCAGTAGGGGCCGGTGGCTCTGCTATCGGAAGTGGCTTGGAGAATGCCTTCTCTTGTGCCTTCAACCAATCCGGGGTTGCGCATGCTGATATCGCTGACGCATCGTAATTCAGACTGGAAGGATCCGCTTCGCCCGTGGTGAGTAGTTTCTCGATTGCTTCACGCAGGTCCTGCGGATCGACGTTGTCAGAAGCTCGCGTAACGGCCCACTGCGGGTGGTTGACTTTTATGGATAGCTGCCTTGAACGAGACCCTTCCGACGATACGGTGGAGGTGTCTGAGAGACCAGGTGGGTCGCCATGGGAGTGACTTCCGTTATCCGTACGGCACTCCTCTGACACCGGTTGCACCTGAAATACCTGAGAGGACTTCGTCGCTAGTGGGCGGATACATGGCCACGAAAGTGACTCTTGCATGAGGTCGTGGATGTCCGGTTCTGTTGACAGTGTGTCCAACTCCTCCAACTTCTTCGCTACCCCCGGGTTCTGCGTACATCGCAGCTTAGAGAGGTACGCGCTGCATGCTTGTGTGTTGGAGAGTGGATGGCCGTAGTCGATCAGATCTTCCAGTACCGTCGTGAATTCAGTGTTGAAGTCCTGGATGCTTGCGTACTGGTCGATGTGTAGGTTTAGGAAATGGCAGAATGCGTGGTGGTATCCAGAAAAGCTAAAGACACCGAAGTTATCGTCCAATGCTTGCAGCATTTCTTGCGAAGTGTGGTTGATGGGAGGTAGGGGTGGCCCGACTTCGAAGACTTCCTGCATCACTTCTTCTGCCACGGAAAGAAACATGTCCAGCTTGACCTCGCGATCTTGTCGAACCCATGCTCTTCGCTCCTCGAGCAGGCTCGGCTCTACGTCTTTCGTTTCCTCTGAGGAGATGTCTGGAACTGGCCGTGCCTTTGGCATAGGCATGGGTAGAGCGCCATTGCAGTATTTCCAAGTATCTTTCGATTCCAGCGCGAACTGGAGACTGCGTCGCCAGCGAGAGTACTCCGGCCCGCTGGACTCTAGTCTTAGGATGGGGACGCCGGGTAGGCGTGGAGAGGTTTGTGGCTGCATTGGTCCTGGTTCTGCAGGCGTAGCTGCACTTCTGAACGGTGCAGTTGATGGAAGGAGCTCGTAGGAGAATAATCACCGAGGAGACCAAGCACATTTGAACATCACCGCATAACACCACAGCCCGTCAGCATCGTCTCACCAGAATATGGCCGCATGCACATCAGCCCTGGCACCCTAGCTCTTTGTTCCAAGGCCGGACTTCCACAAAGGCGAGCCAACCGTAGCTTGAAGCATACAGCCATGCACAACCACCATGATCCCAGATTAGGTCTCGCACGCACCAGGACCCCTTACCTACACAATCATTGAATTGGGTTTGGGCCGTTTTCATCGAGTACCAAGACTGACGTGTAGCAGACTCCTCGCCGTTGACCGTACTCCGTGTCGGGTAGTAATGGGTGCGCAAGCGAATCAAAGCTATGGAACGCGTGGCGGTATGAGGATTATTGGTCGTCGGAATCCGGTGGCTGCGGGGAGTTTCTCTGTTCCCGCCTCATCTTCATGTCCGAAACGCAACGTTGCGGCTCTTCGCGGGATCAGGCGAGCAATCGAAACTTTTTGACATCGGCCCTTTTGCCGCCCATGACGATGCCAACGTCAACTATGATGACTTTGATCGACCAAGATTGAGCTCTCAGTCTGCGAAGACGGTAAGTGGGTGGGGTCGTTCGGGATTACGAGTGTCTGGGTGGAGGTGTGGAGGCACCAGGCTTCTGGGTGCCACCCCACTACATCAACGCATAGTCCGAGCTATGAATAATTGGTATATATTATGTCTGAGTCCGCTGTCTTTCACCGAAGCAGCAATAGCAGCAAAAACGGGGGCGTTGTGGCGGAGTGGTTATCGCGCAAGACTAGAAATCTTGTTCCTTCGGGAGCGTCAGTTCGAATCTGGCCAACGTCGATCTTTTTGCGCATGGAGGGTAGTAGGTCTCTCTGGCTGAAGCCCTACTTTTTGCGCTTTTCTACGTGACAACATTGTGTTGACTGCCAAGCCCATCTTGGCGTACACACACTCCCCAATCCGGACAGCTGCCATCGAACTTCCCATGCCACTGCGACCCTTTCCGTTCCCCTTCCGCGTGGGCACCGATATCTGCAATGTCCCAAGAGTACGATCCATCATCACGCCCCGTACTGGTAGCGAAGACGAGCCTCTGCGTCCTCTGCGTCACTACCTGAAGCGAGTGTTCACCGAGCACGAGCGCCAGTATTTCTGGAATCGCTTTGGGCCCGAAGAATCTGTATTGGAGAAGGCAGATGTAATTTCCAAATTTCTCGCTGGCAGGTGAGTATTCACATCAGCTTAATCTCTCGACTACAAGCTCACGTGATACAAGGTTCGCAGCGAAAGAAGCTTGCCGCAAAGCAATTCAACACCTCGACATTGTTCAAAGAGGGTTCAAGCATATCATGATTCTCCCTGTTACCGCGGTCGATCGCAGTAAGCACCAATCGCTTCGGCCCCAGGGCTTGGTCTTAGATATGGTCTACGAGGATTTCGAGCCAACCTGGGTGAAGCCTGACGGCAAAATTGGACTGATCGATATGAGCGAGATCGATGGGCAGCTGTGCGAGATTAGTATCAGCCATGATGGAGACTATGCGACTGCTGTGGCTATACTGCCGATGGCGGAGAAGTGGGAACATTAATTCGGATGGTTCTGGTGCGGATTTTCTCGTTTGTCATGTTTTGCTGAACCAATCCATGGATGCTGGTACCAAAGATCTTTGTCAATCATGAAATCTCCATCCCCAATTCGACATAACCACGACCATCACATATGGCTTTATCCATTCTGTTGCTGCACAGAAAATGCGTCTAGCTGCTTACACGAACGAACTTCCGTAGCGACTTGAACTACACATTACATCACAACATGACAACCACATATACAAGGTCTACGTTTGGCAAGTCCAACATGTTCGCGCCCGCGCTGCCATCAGCATGGCAGCGTATGCAACAGGACCCAATACTCTTCATCGCACAGTGGTTATATGCTCACCGACCGCTTTCGACAATATCACAGCCCGCGTCCACAACATCGAAGTCCGCTTCCACGATCCCTGTTAGGATCGTCTGCGTCTCCGATACGCACAACGAGCAGCCGCGTGTACCGAACGGCGACGTCTTGATTCACGCCGGCGATCTGACAGTCAACGGCAAATTTGAAGAGCTGCAGTTACAGCTTGACTGGTTGAACAGTCTGCCACACCAACACAAGGTTGTGATAGCGGGGAACCACGATTTGCTCCTCGATCAGTCTTTCTTTCGCCGCAACCCACGACTTGCAAGCCGAGAGAATGATGAACGCAGACTGCGAGATCTGAGATGGAGAAGTGTAGTATACCTCGAGAACGAGCTGAGGGTGCTCAGCGTTCGGGACAGGGACGTCAAGGTCTATGGAAGTCCCATGACGCCGAAATACGGCAACTGGGCGTTCCAATACCCAGCAAAAGACATATGGTCAAACACTGTCCCGGAGGCGACGGACATACTCGTCACGCATGGCCCTGCCAAAGGCCACCTCGACTCGTCATCCGCGAACCCATCTTACTTGCAGGGCTGTGCTCATCTTCAGCGGGAACTTTGGCGTGTGAAGCCGCGACTCCATGTCTGCGGGCATATTCACTCAGGAAGGGGCGTCGAGTGTAGTGACTGGGGATGGCTACAGTGGGACTATGACGCTGTGTGTTGTGGCGAAGAAGGACGCGTCGTCGTCCTGAGGATGCTGGCTTGCTGGGTCTGGCTGTGGGTACTCTGCATGTTGGGAAGAGCAGCGAATGGACGGACTATGACGAGTGTTAATGCAGCAGTTGTTGGTGAAGGGCTCGCAGAAGGCGAGCAAACTCTTCTCGTAGATCTTCGGTAACTTGCAACGATTGCCACGTCATGAGACATCTTTCCTCGTTGTACACGTAACATGTACTGTTTGTATGCCTCAACACGATGTCAAGGTTTACGTGCTGTCTCTATCCCCAGTGGCACTCCACAAACACCAGACGGTGACACATGTCGTATAGCGGTGCAAACCATATACACAAGTCTGATGGGAGGCTTCTGGAAGCCGGTAATGCCCAGGTTACAAGAGTGCTTGGCCACCAAAGTGGAGATAGAGATTCTAGGTTCATGCGTGCCGTCATGCCCCACCGATCCTCGTGGAAGCGACACAGAACGCGTTTCGGGAGACAAGATCCATAAACAACGACCCTGCGAGAGGCTGCGGCATGTGGATCTGACAGGAAACAACAGTGGAAGTCGGGCATAAGGTGAAATGCAGCCTCAGCCTCAGCCTTGTGTACTCCGAGCAGTTGAAGCCTGCATAGAGTATACTGTGGGACCAGAAATATAGCATGAAAATGACGATCGCAACCGTGCCCATTGCAGAGGCGGGGCCTGGGGCTATATGTTCAGATCGTTAAGCAATGTTCTTCTTCTAGTCGGCAGGAATGGTTTCGAAACGTTCAAGCGCATGCCGGCAAAGGTGGTCTCGGGACTCAGCATACGGACAAGGTATTGGAATGTCACTCAGCACAGCAAGGCGCGTGCATGCTGTTCAGGTCTAAAAGATCAGCTTCAATCGCCATGTTTAACCGTGGCGGCGGAAGTCTCCTTGCGGTGCTTTGAATTACGGGTATGTTGGCCTCGACCAAATGGTAAAGCCAAGCGACAGAAAGGGGAATCCCAGGAAACGAGGAGACAGCCCGATGCCGCGGTGCATTGGCTGGACCATTGGATCGGCTCAGACCTGTGGGTTGGATTCGCACCTTCCTCGTACAGTGCTACGCAGGAGCTTGAAACGAGTCACAGTACCCGATGACAAGGCGAGCCTCGGCACCCGCCAGGTGGAATGTTTGTAGAACGTCGACAGACAACCAAATATAGCTGTAGCAGGCGTTCGTAGTCGTAGACCGAGGGAGAGAGATGAAACGTTAGAGCACGGAATGCGCATCTGAGGCGCTGATGGAATGGCGTCAGTCATGGCCATGCTGACTTGAGAGATGAAGGACAGTCCAGTCAGAAAGTACCGGTACCAGCAGCCGATGTCGAGGCTGCAGTCCAAGTGAAGGCTAGCCACAGACAGGGGCTACCTCGAACCTAGGGCGCTGTAAAGTTCATGTCGTTCGCTGGGGCGCAGGCGTGGAGGCGGCGAGCAGAAGTCGAAACCAGCCGTCTGCCCTAGGACGAACTTTGGCGAGTCGTCGAGAGGACAGTCCTGGACGATGCAGGCAAAGCGCACATGGCTGTCAAAAAACGATAGCGTGGTACGGTAGTAGTTGGTCGCACTTCGGAATGACTGTGGACACAGACCGGCAAAATGGCTTGCTCAGCGAAGGAATTGGGTGGCTGCAGGCGATACGCAGCCCTGCAGTTTCCTACAGTCAGCCGGTAGAGACGTTGGAATCACAGTGTGCAGGCAGGGCCCAGGAAGGTGCCGCGATATTGCTTCTGAGCGAACAATCAAAGCATGTCCACGGGGTTGGGTGCAGCATGAGGCGGCGTGGTGAGCGATCATCATCATTCGCATGCGAGCGGGACCCGTGTCATGCCGAAATGAAGGGCTCGGCAAGGGCAAGGGCAAGGGCTGCGCCTTCTCTTATTGGCCGCCTGATGGCCGTTCCTTCCTCAGCAGCGTGCGCATCGAACGGTGGGGAGCAAGGCGCTGGAGATGGACATCAACATTGCGCAGGCGGCCGCCTCCAAATTCCTCGAAATTGAGGGTTCAGTCGCCGTGTCGTAGGCAAGGGATACTCCATGTCTTGGGCTATACGGTAGCACAGCCGGGGTATATGTATATTACCCTTGGCTAGTGCGGTTTGAGCTCACAGCCGTCTGCACGACCAGGGCCTCGCGGCCAGATGCAAATTAATCCACAGGCGCACCGTGGCGGCATGCGCAATCTGCTGCTGATGGAGACACAATGTCCGCTTCGCCTTTTCGTCGTCGCAGCCTCTGAAGTCTTGCTGTCTCCTGTCACATAACCTTCCCATCGTATCCACCCGCGACGTCAATAGCGAACTACTTCCCTCTGCAGCAAGCGCCGTTCTATTTTGCGACTATCGAATGCAGAGGCCCGCCGCGCGAAACCCTGGCTTTCCCCGTCCTGGACACTGGCACTAGTGGTGGGCAGTTGGTTCTCCTGCAGGGAGCACACGTTGGCGACTCGCAGCCCACGGCGCTTTCCCTCTTCCGCCCCTCGCCCCTGCCTGCCGCCGTTTTGGCCTGGACACCTGGGCGACTGCTGCTGCTGCTGACCGGCGCCCTGTCTCTTCTTCTTCTTCACTACCCGTCGCCCACGCCCCAAGCCGACCTCTTCTCCACCACCCGCCGACAACCCCCAAACGGGCGCATTCATATATCGACTCTGCGCATCTCCCGCCCGTGGCTCCCCGTGGCTCTCTCCTCCGACCGTCAAGCACCGCTCTCCACGTCGCCCAGGCCTCACGCTCCCTTGCACGATTCTCCGAATCACGACCACTCCTTCAAAAGCAATTCCGCTCCGTCGCCGCAATTACTAGTAATCTGACCGTTGCCTATCAACGTCGTCGCCGCTCGTTTTAGCACCGCACCGTCCACGAAAACGCGTTCCAGCCCCGCTGACCACTTACGACACGCACGGCCACCCGCTGCTCAGGAACAAAGAAAACGCAATCGCTGCGAATCGTGCTTAGAGTGCCTCGACCACTCCTACGATTCTTTGTCGCCTGCCTGCCCGCTCGCTGTCATCCACGTGCGTACCAGTCTCTGATCGGCCCTGGTTCGGTACCGCGTGCTTCTAGACCCACGCGACGACTATTCTCCGGTACCTGTCAGTGTCAAACATGACAGCATAGTCCCGCGACCAACCCGAGAACATCGCGACGACGCAGTAATCGCTTCGCCTGTGCAACCATCTATTCCTAGCTGCATCGACAGTCTAGTGAGTCACCCAGCTCAGCGACGCGCTTTCTCCATGGAGACTAACATGCGACAGGTCCATTCTTTACCATCATTGACATTCGTCAAGTACACTCGTTTACCATAGCCCTGACAGTATGTTGTGCTACTGACACTGTAAACGCCATGGCTAATAACAGCAGGCTTCCACGTACATTGCCTTCGAGACTCTCGAGATATCTAATTCTACATAACAAGGCATCATAATCGTAACAATGCCTCGCTCAACGACAGTATGGGCAGCCGCCCTGGTTCTGGCCAGTCTCTCTGGCTCTGGCCCGCTCCTTACGACAGCAGAGGCCATGCCTGCACCGGGACCACAACAAACCCAAGGCCGTCCCCGATACTACTTCGCTAGGCACGTAAAGCGACAAATCGTTACCAATGCGACGACCCCTGCGGCTACCCCAGAGCCATCAACCAGCTACTCGTCCAGCAGCACTACTGAGCAACTCTCGTCCCGCCAGATGGACTTCCCGTCCTTCATTGAATCGCTGTTCCGCGGTAGTTCCGATTCATCGGCTCTTGCCTCATCCTCAGATGTGCTTGTCAGCACCAGCGACGTAGACACCACTGGCACCTTGTCCTCCGCTTTGGCAGAGAGCTCCTCTACCGCACCTCTCTCAGAAAGCAGTGTCTTTTCACCGCCACCACCTGCGGCATCGAGCTCTGCAGTCGAATCGTCGAGCCCCATCGTTAGCTCATCAAGCCAAATTCAGGAATCAGTCACTGAGCCATCGTCTACAGCTGCTCCTACGTCCACTTCCGAAGCAGCGCAAAGCGAGAAGCCTGTTGAGACCACCACATCCGAGCCTATCACCGAACCTCAGCCCACAACCGCTGTTTCTCCAACGGCCGAGATTGGCACTACCAGTGGTCTCCCCGAGACTATTGTGCAGCCTACATCAACCGCCCAAAGCAGCGCCGCATCTTCTTCTACCAAGGCTGACAGCCCTATTCTCGGTCCTATCCTCGGCTCCACTGGCCTCCTACCTGAGATCATCGTTCCACCAACTTCCACTGTCCAAAGCTCAGCTGCGGCCTCTTCGACCGCCGTTGAAGACACCCCAGCTTCTTCGATCGCTCAGAGCTCAGCGGCCGCCCCAACCGGAGGACTGCCTGACGTGATTGTACAACCGTCATCCTCCGCTGTCGACAGCAAGCCAGCGCCTTCTACCGGTAGCATTCCCGAGACCATCGTGCAGCCCACTTCAGCTATCGCACAGCCAACCTCGACGCCTCCTGGTGTTGAGAACACCCCTGCCTCGACAGGTGGACTACCGGATGTTATTGTGCAGCCATCGTCGTCAGCCGTTGACACACCTACTGCAACAACGACTTCTGCTGGTCTCGTTGGTGGACTTCTCTCAACGCTTCTCAACCCAATCATTGGATCTACTGGCGGTGTACCCACATCTGTTGTCCAACCTACCCAGGTAGTCTCATCGACTGCTCCCCAGTCATCTCAGCAAGCTGTCGGCTCCACTGGAGGCATCCCAGAGACTATCGTGACACCCACTGCGTCTCTTGTTTCTTCTGCACCAAGCTCTCCTGCCGCATCCAGCTTTCAGGGACCTTTCATCGTCCCTGGATCCACAGGTGGTGTTCCTGAGTCGATTGTGCAGCCTACCTCATCCGGCGGCTTGGTTGGTGGTCTGCTTTC